TTATCTTTACAAGCATATAATTAGCGTATCCCAATTGCCTACAAAATAAATAATCGTTCAGGGCCGGAAGCCCAAAGCCCGAAGCTGCAATAATTGTTTTCACAGGACCACTTTAATGCACTTACGGACATAATTACTCACATGCTCTTAGAACGCACACCGCCATACACCACTATAGGTATGCGCACAAGTTTTTCAAACTTTAACAGACTGGTACATAATGCAATATTATTTAAGAATTCAAAAAGTGGGCAATTATTTATTTCAGAGCAATAGGAGTATTGTAGCTATTTGAGAAATAATGTTGTAGCTACTTGTAGTACAAGGTACCGGGGGTTTGAAACTCGACTAAGCCAAATATACATATAACAGGTCATTATGAATAATTAAAATTAGTATAAACGATATTAAGACAGTGCATGCGCTGTTCGAAGGCAGCTTAATACTTTTAGGAGTCTTCACTTGTTGAAATACATGTAAAATAATGCTAAAAAAGAAATAGAAAATCATCTAAGCAAACATGGCAATCGCTAAATAACAGCCTATTATATCAGTCAACATCGTTACCCATTTACTGTGACCTCAATGATAGTTTTCAACACTATTACTCGGACAGTTTGCTCCACAATTGCCTTAGGGCTCCAAATAGTTCCTGAGTTGCTCCACTTTACAACTGTGCCTTATAAAAAGATGCAGTTTCATCGCGTTAAATATACCAAACTTAAAACTCTCCCGTTGTTTGAAATGACTTTTATGGTAATATTAAAAAACGAAGAAGTTACAATGGCTTTTCGTTGACCAAAAATCCACATCAGCCGAGTTATAAATAATGTTCACCATAAAAGTCATGTTTTCCAAGAAAAATCGCTGAAAAAAATAAATTTGCAATATTCCTCGATTCGTTGGGAAAAGTAATGTCTTCCATTTTCTTCTATAGAAAAGAGATACTGCTTAAAATTTCGACACTGTAAGAATCAACAAACACTTTAGTGGGCCACCCTCTATAAATGTACTTTTAGGTAGCTTTAGCAACATTGTAGCAAATGCAAAATAGCTTTTGGTAAAAGCCATAACTGAATTATATTTTCTTACGAATCAATAAATGAAAAAAAAAATTTACCATTTTCTTTCGACTTTTAGACACGCAGCAGACGTTAACGAAATATAACATACCACCCTTCGTCAAGTGTTCAAATATAATTAACGCGCGTGGGACACGGTAATTACTAACTGCCCAATACATACTTTCACTGTCGAGTTGTCATTTCATAAAATTTACGAGACACATACAAGTGCTAACTAAACTACTTATATACAAGATGGTGTGTATATAATTATGTGATGCACACGTGTACTTATAAGCTGCTGCATATGTATTTACAAGTCCGCCGGCGAAATTACTTTTGTATACGACCTTCTTAGGGGCCAATACAGCTATAATTACACACACACATATAAAAACTAGAGCACACGTGCAATTAATGTACACGTGTGTTTCCATTGGTATTACTGGATATATTTCATTAATATTCCCACTAAATCGGAAATAACAAACGCAGATTTGTTGCTAATCAAAACCGTCCTTAGCAATTAGTCATTCAATTAACCTTACGTGAACATGTGCAGAGTCATAAGATTCGACCTTAAAGCAATTTGGTTGTGGCCTAAATAATTACCACAGAAAATAACATAGTATGTGTAGTGGAGTGAATAAAATATTATTTTACTCTAAACAAACTTTTTGAAATTTTGTCAAAAAACGTTCAAATCACCCTTGAGTGAGAGAGAGTTAAAATCTTTTGGAACATTATTACGCAAAAATAAGAAAAACCTTAACTTAGATAGAACACCCATATAAAAATGTTGCCATAAAAAACTTTACTCTGATCGGTGAATTTTGATGGCAGCAATATGCTATTTTGAACCGATTGAAACCATTTGTTCAAAAAGGTTTCCGCTGCCTTGGAAAATAATATATATAT